AGAGAATTAGTATGAATAAAACATTTAGCTATATAAATGTAATTAATATTGAGAAAATCATAACTGACAAAGATTTTTAAATACTGATGGGAAATTAAACCTTAACAAGAGCACGAAAAACAGGATATTGATTTATGAATTGATATTATTGTTATTTGTATAATATTAGTAAAATATGATGAAGATGCTTATATCTAACTTTGTATACATCAATAGTACCAAAAATTGTAACTGTGTAATGAGGGGAAAATGTAAAAAATATGGAGAAGAAAGGAGGATCAGGGGAAAAATACTGGATTGTGTAGTACTGAAAAGATTCATATTGAAGAAGTTAATGTCAAATATATGAACCCAGACAACACATTGTTTACTAAGCACTAAAGATTATAATTCTTAAAAATCAATAAAACATTTATATTGTCTTCATCATCCATGTTGCTTCAAAATGCAATCTGACATCTGAAATAAGCATTTCAATTTGCATATGGTAAAACTAAATGATATCAGAGGACAGTTTTATGGAATGACTAAAGTTAAGATTGTTTAAATTGGAGGTCCCAAGAAAATTATCAAGTGGATAAGCAATTTTATAATTACTTCATGAGCTGAAAATGATTGTGCCAACATGCTTTCAGAGAATGAGATTGGATGATGGAGGAGTCTGCTTTAGTAGCACAGTAGAATTCACTTTTGAAAATGATCAGGTCAGTTTCTTGTGTTCACAATGTGAAGATTTTCTTGCTGGAAATATAGGAAATATGTTCACACAGAAAAACTTTAACATATGTTTTTCTCTGTACAGTCTTAGAACCATTAAGTCAGCTGCTCTAAACAGGTCAACTTGCAGATGAAATTACAGCTAGTGCACCTTATTATACGTTTAGGTGCATTTTTAACAAAATAGCAAAATTATTTTCATCACAAATTCATAAAAAATAAAGTATATTATTTGTATTATACCTTCTTCGGTGCACTCAAGCCTTGGCAGACACATTTGAACTCTGCTTCAAAAAAAAAAAAAAAGGTTGCACAAAAGAAGTCTTGCACACAGTCTCCAAAGCTTTGAGGAAACATTGTTTCCCAAGTCAAATCTAGAACACACACTCATTCCTGAAGCTTTGAAACCCTTGAAGCTTCCCCCCTCCCAATAAAAATGATATTTTAGCCCAAGTGCTGGAGTTTAAAGAAGAAGAAAAGATGTAAATTCTACAGATACAAATGCATCATGACTGAGTTTCTCCATAACATAAAATAAAAAATAACCCAACACAATTTAGAGAGCAAAATTGTGTTAACTCATTTCCACAGACTTTCTTGTCTCACTATATCACTAGTTATGTTACACAGGGTAGAATCATGCATTAAAATAAGAGTGTTGCACAGCTGGTTTATTGTCTCAGGACCAGTTCTTCCTGATCATTTATTTTTCCAACAGAAAAAGAAAATTTAAAAAATAGTGTCATCCATAATTACAGCTATGTCTATGGCTGGGATGAGTACATTTCAATGTTAGGTAATAGCAAGTACAGTATTTTAAATCATTTAGCTATTTTCCTTATGAAAGGATATGGCTATGTTTCATGATTGGATATATTATAAATATAACCAACATTATTTAAACAGGCACTCTATACGAGATTTGGAAATTGCACCAAAGAAACAAAACTAACAACACCTAGCCTCTTTTCTTCAGGAAACTCAGCCTGGCAGCAATGCTGGATGTATTACTTCATATTTAGTCTAAGTAAGAACTAAGACAAGCTCTCCTGCTGTTCCTTAGGTGCTGAACTGAACAATTCTAAATGCCCAACTGAAAGACATCAGGAAATGTAATGCAACACCACCATCTGCTGACTGTTACTGTGATATTAAGCCTTCTAAAAAAGGTTTTCTACATGTCTTTCCCAAGCATTTTCCAGCTTACAAAAGGCTGGTAAAATGGAGTACAGTAGTCCTCAACATACAACCATAAATGGAGCTTGCCCCATCATGATTGTATATCCTAACAATCATAAAACAGGTAGATCACTTTGGCTAGAGGGATTCTGGGAATTTAAGTCCACAGATCTCAAAGTTGCTGAGGTTAAGAAACACTGCCCTAAGCTAGCCATTTCTTCCCACCTTGGTTTCTCTGGGTCTATTTCCCTCAGTGGAGTCCCTAGGTTTGCACTTGCCTCTAGATGTATTCTGTGCAACTCACAACATTACACCTTTTGTATCTTCTCCAAATTAGGTTTTGTTCATTTCTCTCGCTTCTCCTAATTCCAGGTTTCTTGCAAGCTCCCCTTTTTCTGCTAAGAAGCCCCTTGTCTCTCCCTGTGATCAAATTACTTTACAATTTTCCCCATTTATTTTTACACTCATGAGTTCTTTCTTACATCCTGATAATTACAAACCCTGGGCCACAGCTTCCTAATATACAAGGTATTTCCTCTCCTCTAATATCAAACTTCTGCGGCTTGTACCATTTCCCCCACTCCTCCCAACAACCTGCTGGGCTTTACCATCAATAAATTAAAACTAATATTTCAGGAATCTGTGGGCAAGTGATCTACCATCTGGGCTTGGGATTCAGAATGGAGAACTCTAGGGGTCTATTTTCAACAAAGTTAAGAAAAGAATTTTTTTTAATTTGTATACTGCTCATTTATTCTCTCCATATATTTAAATTTTTCACTCACCTAACCCTAAGCAATCGGGATGAATAAAAATATTATAAAACAAATTAAAATTAGTCATAAACAGCAGCCAAGAAAACCATACTATAAAAATTCAAATTATGCTAAGTGAATGCCACCTACTGTTTGCTTACCACTAAACAGAGAAAACAAATTCAAGCAAAATGTCTTTGCAGAACTTTAGGAAAATATTCAAGTGTATTGTCTGGCAGATTGCCAGAGGAAAAGAGTTGTACTATCGCATAATTTCCAAGACATATATTCACATAAGCACTGGAAGTCTGTAGTTGCAGAAAACAAAGCCCAGCCATAGTGATTTGTTCCTCCAGGTTTGGAATTTTACCAGAAATGTGCATTTTTAATCATTTTCAGAATTTGAGCTGATTTGATACCACATCTGCATTACCTGAAATATATTGTATTTAGTGTCTTAATTTAAGAATGCTGAGGTCAAAGCTACATGTTATATAGAAAATCTTTTAACAAAGAAAACATCAAAAGTTCCAATAGCATAAGAATGATAAATGGTATAAGTTGGCCTTATATAACATATATGACAATTCTCTGGCAATGCAGATGACAACAAGTACAATGCAGTGCCTGATCCTGGAATGACATCCTCTTGGGAAGCTTGGATTTCCCTGAAAGCCTTTAGACATTATTAAAAATCTGGGGGTTTTCCGCAAGCTCTTCCAATATGCCCATTTGTTGTTTTGATTGTGCTATGTGCTTCCCCTGTTAGGTGGTGTTTTTTGAGGAGTGATGATCATTTTTAGGTATTGTACTGGTTTTAATTTTACAGGGTTTAATTTTAAGCAATGTCCCAATATCGCAGGGGTTGCCACAAAGAAGAGAGAGTCAATCTATTCTCCAGAGCACCTGAAGGCAGGACAAGAAGCAATGGATGGAAATTAATCAAGGAGAGAGCCAACCTAGAACTAAGGAGAAATTTCCTGACAGTTAGAACAATTAATCAGTGGAACAACCTGCCTCCAGAAGTTGTGAATGATGCAACAATGGAAGTTTTTAAGAAGAGACTGGACAACCATTTGTCTGACATGGTATAGGGTTTCCTGCCTGAGCAGGGCTCAGGCACTAGAAGACCCCAAGGTCCCTTCCAACATTATTGTTTTGTTTTGTTTTTTTGTTGTTGTTGTACACCACTGATAGTGGTCTGTAAGGGCTGTTGGGGGGGGAGTGTCTTCAACTCAGTGTTGACTCCTGGCATGGAGGGGAGGGGAACTTGGCATGCTGGGGAAATAGCCCTCAAATCCAATATCCCCTCCTCTTGCAAACTTCCATGCTGAGTTGATTTTCTGGGGAAGCCAGCAGAAAAGTTTCCAAATGGAAATCACATGATCATAGGGCACTTTGCAATGGGTTGTAAATACCAACAGGTTGTCAAGTGACTGAAATGCAGGCACATGACCAAGGCAGTGCAATGTTTTGTAATGGCTGGAAGTGTTTTACAGGTTGTAAAGCACCCATTCCAAGGCCGCTGTGACTGTTAACAATCCTTAAGGACTGGTCATAAGTCATGTACTATCTGTACTGTAACTTAATAGAAAATGATTCCCCAGCAGAGCATGAAGATAATCACCTCCTGCTGCTGCTAATTTTTGAATAGTGTCATTCAATTTTAGTCATGACTAATAAAGTTAGGATTCTCTGTCATTTGTTCATTTGACTTTTTCTTCAGTGTGTAATGGTGGGGAATGAGAAGTAATATCTCCAAGGAATACTGAGGACTACCAAAAGTTATCTCTTCCATTTGCTTTTGCAGCTTTCAACTGGAAAGCACTTAATTCATACTTAGCAAAAAAAAACTGAGGCTACCCTTATCATAGTTTCTTTTGCCATTTCTTCATTCATTTACGTTTACTGGGCAGCAGCCATTCCTGCAGAAGTTGAAAATAAATGGTACTGTATTTCTTTTGCCACCTTTTCACAGTGGGAGGGAGATAGAAAGATTTATTCAACATTTATTCAGCAAACACTCTTGAGTTCCCGGAAGAAGAAAAAATAGATGCTTGAATCGACAGGGAAAATGAGGCTGAAGTTCCCGTCAGGTCTCCCTGGGAAAATCCCAAGATATAAGGCTGCCATATCTAAGCTGCAAAAAACCGAATCAGAGGGAAGTAAAGAGTTTTCCTATCACTTTACTGCCACCTAGGGACCAGCTGATTTAGTGCATCGGAGATGGGTTATCCAGAAATGCAAATAAGGTTTCACGAAGGAAAGAATGTAAAGTAGCACCACCGATTCTGCCATTGAGGAAAGGAGAAAAAAACATAGTAACAGGGATGACTCTAACGCCTCCAACCGCCCGTTCTGTTGAAAGGCAAAGAGGAACATCGCATCAGCCGCCGGGTGGGCGGTGCTTGGCTTCCAGGGCAACCGGAGAGAAGTGAAGCGCATGCGCGCACCATCCACTTTCTCTCAACCGTCAGCGGCAGCAGCGGCTGGTCGCAGTCGCCATGTTGATGCTGGGCAGAGGGCTGGACGCCAGGTAACGGATCGCGGAGGGGCAAGAGAGGGCTTCTGGTCTGGGGCATCCTGCTCGGGTCCCACGCTCCCCGGCGCGGGGTGTGTGCTCGCCCTGGCATGGAGGGAAGCGTTGTCCGGGTAGGGCGAGAGCCGATCTGTCCCATTGAAGGAGAAGAGGGGGAGAAGAGAAGAAAAGGAGAAGACAGAAGAAAAGGCCTGTCGACCTAAAAGCATCCTTCCTCATCTTGATCAGAGCATATGGGAATGGTAGTCCAGCGCATGTTTTACAACAGGGATGGGAAACTATGGCCCTTTGATGACTTGGACTTCAACTCCACAAGTTGAAGCCAGCCACAAGTCATCAAAGGGCATAGTTCCCCACTCCCGGTCGGCATCCTCGCCCTGATCCTGAACGAAAAGGAGTGAGGCATTCGAGGCCCTCGGAAAGAGCGCTCGCTCCTCCTTTCCCAGTTCCCATGTACATCATAGGCTTGGCAGCACTTGGGGACTCGTCTTCTGGCCCGCACCGCTGAAAGAAGCGGCGACGTCCCCTCATTCGAGCTCACCCGGCTTCTCTTCCTGGGCACAAAAGGGGTTTGCAATCTCACAGACAGTCCAGATTAAAACAATAAACTAAACCAAACCGGGGCCTGCATAAAGACGTGAACCCCAAGTCTTAAATGCTTTGGGGAAGGCTAGGAAAATGTAGTATATAGTTCAAAAGCTTGCAGATAGGTACCACTTTGGTGGAAAGGTAAGGGTGTTCTGAGCACCTTTGGTGTATAGCCATGCTGCCACATGACTACGGAAGTTGTCTTTGGACAACACTGGTTCCCTTGGTCAAGAAACTGCTCTAGAGTCAGACATGACTGATAGAGAAACCTTTACTATTAGGTCTTCAATTTTTAGCAGAATTTGCACTGACCATGGGGCTGGATTAGGTGACTCCTTGACCTATTTACATCTGTATGTTGATGCAGAAGGACAATTTTTGCTAGCATATCAAACACCAAATCACAGGGGCTATTTTTATGACTATAGGTATTTTAGTATGAGAATTCAAACCAATGCAGCTTTTCATTTATTAGCTATTTACCCAGGTATACACCTCTGATTGCAACATTTACCTTAGTCAGAAAGTGGAGACCATCTTAACCTTGGTAGCAATAAATATTGTATTAAGTAAAAATAAATTCAATATTGTTGTACTTTGGTAATTTGGTCATTAGATGTTTAAAAACATCCTCTGTGAAACCTTATTTCCAAATTTTGTATGTATGTATGATCAAAAAATATGCAGGTTTTGAATTTAAACTAAGCTAGTCAACCTAATCTATTACAATCCACCAAAACTGCTTGTTTATATATCTCAGTTGGTATGGTAGTAGCAGTATATATTTGTATGTGATCCATACAGTAAACTGAAGGAAATTACACATTACATTGTTTAAAAATTTAATCATAACAATATTCAAGTTGAAATATAGCTTTGTACATGAATGAAATTATGATAATTCAATAATTATCATTGAATTATGCATTTCAGGAAGAATGCTCAAATATCGAAGTCTAAAGGTTGGCTTAATGAGGCTTCCAACTTTTCAGTTAGCTTTGTACCGAAGAAGAGGCAGGAATTGACTCTTCATTGCCTGTTTTACTTATTGTTTAAAAATAAAACTGTTGATGAAATTGAAAAAAAAGTTATACAATTTCAATAACTTGTTCTTTTTTTCTTTTTAATTTAGCATTTTTGTCTTTTTGTTGTTTTGTTTAGCTGCTGCTATTTATTTTCAGGGTTATGTTCTTTTTCCTGCTCTGTGTAGTTCAGTATAGTTTTTTATTTTATCACACACACACACACACACACACACACACACAGGTAGCCCTCAGCTTACTACCATGGAGCCTGCCCATTACACTTGCATATTCCAATGGTGATTAGTGAATCATGTCATTTAATGACCCCATTCCTACTCTCCCCAATGTAATCCTTAAATGAATGTATCAGTTGTTAAATGGAGCAACAGGTGCCTCCGGTGAGGGACGTCCTTGGACGCCTAGCACAGGTCTCCAAAGGCCTCCTCCACTTCCAAGACACCTGGTGCTCTATTCCCTGTCCTGCCCCTTCACCAGGTCTTGGCCAGCTCTCAGCCCGGCTATTCAGCCAGGCAAGGAAATCTAAAGCTGGTCCACGGAAGCAATCGGCCCATGCAGGTCACTTATAGCCTGTAAACTGATACCTACTTGCCATCCAGCCACCCGAGACTTGCAGGACTTAGCCTGCTCCCCACCCAGCTCCAGAGGCCAGGAGTACTCAGTTTATTTTTTTTTGTTTTATGCAGAGAAGCCTGTCCAATGCAATGCAATGCCCAGCTTTGCAGAAGCTACCAGCTTCATGGCAACCTTGTGCTATTCTAGCAAATAGTTTCTCGTGAGACTACAAACAGAACCGCATTAAAAATAGAGAGCCCCATAAGTCTCACAAGTACTACTCTGCTGACCAGCTTTAAACTTCCATGCCTGCTGAATAGCCAGGTTAGGAGCCAGGAGAATCCCAAGAAGGTCAGCAGAAGCAACACGCATACAGAGGGCAGTTGCCATCTGTAGGCCAAGGCTTACTTCCCATCCAGTCACCCAAGGTGATCATAAGTCAAGGTTTATGTACATAGGTTAGATTTTCTATTCAGATTTAATGGAAACTCAGGTCTAACAAATGCTGCTTCCCCAAGTAAAGTTTGCTGGTAATGTTGGATGTGCTTATAATTCTCAACACTGTCCTTTGTCTTTTTTTAAATAGGGATAACCAGACCAGACAAATACGGGAAGCTGTTTCAAATGTGGAAAAACATTTTGGTGAATTATGTCAAATATTTGCAGCATATGTACGAAAAACTGCCAGGCTACGAGACAAAGCAGACCTTTTAGTAAATGAGATACATGCTTATGCAGCTACAGAAACACCAAATTTAAAGTTTGGATTGAAAAATTTTGCAGATGAGTTTTCCAAGCTTCAGGATTATCGCCAAGCAGAGGTATAAATTTACATGCATACATTTTCTTATATGTCAGTACTCAAATTTTGAATATTTGCACGTTATGACCATGATAATAAATAAATTACAATTAGAGCCATTGAAATCTAATACTATACAGTTTAACTTACCCATAGATAATTTTGATAATTTCTGATATAGTCCCTGATTCATTCCAGAATAAATTTTCAGGGAGAATTAAAACCCTTTTTTCAGTATATTAAAAAGATATTAAGGGTTTGTGAGTTTAAGTTGCATTAAACTTTAAAAGATGACAATGGCAAATTAATGATTGTATTTTAAACTAAATAATGAGTATACCAATTAACACATCATTAGATTTCTTTATTGCAGAAAAAAGGGTTTTTCCCTCTGTTACTTCCTTGATTGTTTTCTATATTTCAGATTCACTGAAAATAATGGGAATTTATGCAATGAAAAATTCTAGAATGATTAATCATGACCTCTTTTTATAGGTAGAAAGACTTGAAGCTAAAGTTGTTGAACCTCTGAAATGTTATGGGACCATCATAAAACTTAAAAGAGTATGTGACAGACTTTGTTTCCCTTTTTCATGTTTTAAGGTACTTCTCTAAGAACCTGGTGTTTCTAAGTCTTTTTTAATTCAAGTAATCAAATCCTAAAACCTATAAAAGGCCATGTAATTAAAATTCTGCATGTTTGGATATTCAAAACTGGCAATATCCAGGAAAACTTGGAAATTCAAAAGCATATATTTACTCAAATTCATTTAATAAGCATGTATATATAATCATAATTTCATTTGTTCATCCAAACCTACATATAAATATACTGAATATTAAATCAACTATTAACCAAACAGTACCTTCCAGTTCAGAAACAATAGGCCTGGGCATTTTATGGCCCATGGTCCATATCTGTCCTTTTTGTTGTCCCTGTCTGGCCATCAGCCACAGGGAAGCAAGGCCCTGGTGTCAGTGGGCAGTGGCCCTCCATAAGAGTCCCAGTTTCTCCTGTGGCCCCTTGGGAAAATTGCTCACCCCTGCTCCAGATATCAGTAGTGAAGATCCAATTATGATAAATGGCTGTTTTCCTCATATGTTGCCCAAGACATTGGAAAACAGGATGCTGGGAAAAAAAGCCTTACCTAATAGTTCATTCTACAGCAATTCTTGAAAAATGGGAAAAATACTTTATCTAAAAGCACAACCTTTGTTGTATAATTTAATCGACAATCTTAAGTAAGTTGAATTGCTTTTGAATTCCACAAAAATGTAAATAATTAGAAACCTCTTTTTTAAAAATATAGTTTTTGACATGCCTACAATCTGTTTGTAGGAAGATCTTAAAGCAACTTTAACAGCAAAGAACAGAGAAGCAAAACAGTTATCTCAACTGGAGAGGACCCGTCAACGAAATCCATCTGATCGGCATATTATTGTATCCTTTGCACACATTTATTTAAAACTTTATATGCAATAGTTAAACTCTTGAAAAGATTGATACATGTAAAAAAATCAAATGCAATTTCTTTTACATTGTTTTCCTAAAATATCTTAGTTCAGAGGTCTCCAACCTTTCCGGGCTCGAGGACCGGAGGGAAGGAGTAGCTTCAAAATTGGTGTGCACATGTGCACACGGAACCAAGCACACTGGCGTGGCATTAGCAGTTCCATTTGCGCATGTGGCATGCGCTGTGTGCATGCACAAATGGCCACGCTTCCCCCACAGTGGATAGCGGCCCATTCATGCATGTGCGAATGGGCCATGCAAATCACCCGGGCTAGCAGCGCATGCACAAACAGACTGCAGACACCCACACCGTGCTAGGATCCCCATTCCCACCCGCGTGCATGTGCAAATGGGGCTGCAGGCGTGAGGGGGGGAAATATGCGCCCACGCATGTGCGCGCACCGGGCAGCCATTTCTGCTGCCCAAGACCCCATAGGACCATAGGTTGGGGACCCCTGCCTTAGTTGACAAGTAGTTATATTGATTATTCAGCAATTAAAAGTAATTACCTGCTTATAGAATTCTTTTTCTTTACTCCCTAATTTTTTATAGTTTCAAGATTTACTAAAAATTGAAAGCCATCAATTATTTCTGTCTGATAAACTAGAAGCTTGATGAGTTGTTATACAGAAAGGATTCTTTAAATATCAGAAATACTGCTGTAGTATTTTCTGTAACTTAGAACATTTTCCTTTACTGTTAACACCTTCAGTCACAGGTGAGTCTTCCATCTAAAATGATAGCATAAATTCTATTGACAATTATGCTTTTTCATCTTTATAATTGTTCCACCAATAAGAAAAATAAGTTACATATACCTACAGATAACTAAGATCAGAAATAAGAGTAGAAGTAGATTTTCATTAAAGATCTCTTATTTTGGAAGGCAAAAAAAGGAATTTGGCACCATGCTTTCTAACTAATATACTGTATTAAAATTCATAAATTAGCTAGCTAAATTGATTTTTTTAATTAAAATTAATGAATAGTATTGGCATAAAACATTGCATAGCTAATATAAATTAGGTAAGAGATCCAAACTGCTGTATATCTTCATATTACACAATAAAATTTAGTCACATTTAAAGAAATATAATCATTGAAGTCCTAACGTAATATTTGTAAATAAAACTGATCAGAATGACCAAGGTTAGGAGTAAACGGCTCATGGTATCAGTTTCAGTAGCTTGTTCACCATATGGGCACAATCTAGATTTAAATAGAATGTTCTTATAGTATTTTAACTTTTATTTTTTATTGTTTTATTTCTTAAGAATATAGTAGTATAAATAAAAAAACAACTAAACATGAAATAAATTGAAAATACTAAGAAAACTATTACTCCCAAGATTAAAAACTATACCAACAAATCAGCTTAAATTCCATAAAATCTTTGAATTAAGTCTTAAGAATGAAAGAATAGTTATGCTTTATCAGCACATCTATTGCAAATAATGTTTCCAGCAAATATTTCTAAGTTACATGTGAGAAAAATAAAAGCATTTTCCCCTCTATATCTTAGAAATCTTTAGAAACATTTTCCCAAGGATCCTAAAACTACAGCAGTCTCTTGGGAAAATTGTGAGTCCCACTTCCAGTAAGGATTTATGGTTAATAGGTACTTTCAATGTCCAGAAAATATTTTAAAAGGTGTTTTAAAAAGACTGTTCCTAAATCTGTTTGACTTTGTAATTATTTCTCCAATAGAGCATACTTAATTTGATTAAGGAATCAAACTTTTCCAATTGTGAGGGTGGAGGTTCATTTTCCAAGCATGTGGGTTGGTTTCCAAACTTTTTGTTTACAGACTTATCCTACACCCAAGCTATAGATATTGGCACTTTTCCAATTATGCTAATTATGAATATGTGCAACAATATATTGGTGTAGTTCCACTAGGTAGAAGTTTTCCAAACTGTGGGAAAATGAATGTTAATTTACTTAGAGTATCCTATCTAGGACTATAGATCCAGCAATATGCTTTCTCAAGCAGTTTATCTAATTTTTAAATGGAACATTGGAAAACATCTGTTGTAGGAAAAAAATACTTTATTTTTAAGGCTGAAAGTGAATTACAGAGAGCCTCTCTGGATGCAACTAGAACGAGTCGGCAGTTGGAAGAAACAATTGACAATTTTGAAAAACAAAAGATAAAAGATATTAAGGTAGGTATGTAATTCTGGATCAATGCAATACAGATAGTGGGGTTAGAAGACTATTTCTGAAATGGGAACAAACACAATCTTGACACAAACCTCTCCACACATTTAAAGAACTTGTAAATAAGTGAGCCAAGTTTGTTAGCCTCCATGTGAGGACCCTAGAAAACATATAATTCCTGGTTTTATTTTTAAAGTTGTCATGTTCAAGTTTAGTGACAATTCAAATTAAGTTCGCTAAACAATTCAAACTGGCAGTTTTTAAATATTCATAGCATATGTCAGAGACACAGTTTAGCCCCAACAAAGTGCTGCTTGTTAAAATATCTCATTTACAGTGAAGAACAACACTGCTCAGATTTATTACTGAATTTGATCATACTAGAATTACAGTATTCTAGTGCAATTAGTATTTGAATAGATTAATATTAAAATGTATTAATTCTAAGGAGCAGGCAATTCCCTTAGTAAATAAATGAAACAGGAACTCTGTATTTAATACTGAAACAAATACTAGGATGAGTGGGAAAAAAATAATGCTCGGATGATCCACAAGAAAGTGTAGAAGAACTTTTCCCAGTTGAATAAGTTGTGGCTGCACTGGTCTCTTCGAGGCAGATATTAAATCAGCCTGTACAAAAGGCACCAATTATACAAAGACTGTTACAAACAATAAATTGAACATTCTTTTTTTCCCCCAAGCATAGTGAAGTTTTCTAGTTTTCATAGTGATGGCTCATTTATTGCCACAACTGTCATAAAGCAAAAGATAAATATATATGTAATATTGTACTCTTTATTTTTAGAACATACTTTCAGAATTCATTACAATTGAAATGTTATTTCATGGAAAAGCCATAGAAATTTATACTGCTGCATTCCAAAATATACAAAATATTGATGAGAATGAAGATTTAGAGGTAAGAGACCAAATGCGTCTTTGGTAAAGGTGTAGTCAATTGATTTTGTAGAATATTAGTTTTAAAGGCTAGCTGTTCAAAAATAATGTTTAAATATTTTATTGGATAATTGAAGATATTTAAAAATGTATATGCTTCTATTCAACATAAACAAAAACCTCAGTTAAGGAATAATTATAGTCTGTATATATTTTAAAGCAGATAAATAGGTTGAATAAGCAACAGAAAGGTTTCCCATTCTTGCTCATTCCATAAGTAGAGATGCAATTTATTTGAGTGTTTCCTATCTTATCAAAGTAGATTTGATGATAGGAAGCAGTGGGTAAGAGGAAGATTTATACTTAACTCTGTCTTCCTAATTTCAACTTTTTAAAAGTGTAATGTGCCTCCCGAAATTGTCTGATAAGGAATGTGTTGAAATTTTTGCTGGTTTAAGTGTTAGCACTTCAGCTGCTAGCAGTTCAAAATGGCTTTCTTTGTGACATGGAAGGCAAATAAATAAGCCTTTTTAACCTGATTTGCAGAAATTCTTCCGCATCTAGAAGTTGAGATATAACAATAAACTAGGCATAGGTAACATAAATTCAGCCAAAACTTTTTAAATTGCTTTTGATAATTTAAAACCGAATGACTTTCAAAAAATAGATTTCTAGCTTTTCTCTTCAGTACTTAAGAGATAAAGGAAACTTCAATTATACAAGCTCTCCTGCTTGGCCTACACATATTAATTAATATCTAGATTTTGGACTGACGTTCATGTCTGGTAACATTTATACTTTCAGAAAAGATGAAGTGGTGTTATTATTCAGCTTGCTCTCTTTGCAGCTATTTACAGTACATCCTAGAAACCTTATTACTTTGATTTACATCAGTCTGTTTAGATTAAAATGCGGTCTACTGGAGTATTCCAAGAAATTATGCATTGAAGTGATGTTTATATCACTTAAATCAGTATAGTACTAATAGTGTGCCTCAGAATTGCTGCATGCATTCCAAATCTCACTATCAACATTTAAGTTTTATTAACAGGTATTTCGGAGTTCACTTTATCCACCAGAACATCAAACCCGTTTGGATATTGTTCGTGCAAATTCCAAATCTCCCCTTCAGAGAACTGGTTCTTCCAGAACTTGTACTGGAATAGTCCAGGTAAAAAAAGATCTTGAATATTTTTCTTACTAAATGCTATAAATGTTTTAATATAGCCTTTCCAAATAATCTATTATCTCTAACCAGAAATCTATTGGATATCAAATTGTTCGAATGTCCAATTTACTTGCCACTTCAGTGAATAATTAAAAATGAATTTGCTGCAGGCCACTTTAGCTGACGATGTTCAGCAGGTCAGCGGTTCAAATCTCACCGGCTCAAGGTTGACTCAGCCTTCCATCCTTCCGGGGTAGGTAAAATGAGGACCCAGATTGTTGGGGGCAATGTAAATATATATATACATTGCTTACTGGTGTACACCGCTTAGAGAGTGCTTGCACTTAAAGCGGTATATAAGTCTCATAAATAAATAAATAAACCTTTTATTTCTAAAAGCGAATACGCACACTGAGATGTGTAAATCATTTATGAAATGATATTACACATACTCAGATATGTAAATTATTTGTGAAAACCTTAGAGGTAATAGTGGAATTTGTTTTAAGGGGCTTTTTTAGTACCATTTTCAAATATTGAGGTTAGCATTTGTAATGCAGCTCCATGTAAAATACATATATATGTTTTGGGCTAAAAGCAATCTGTTAAATTTAAAAATGTGCGTGCCAATTTATTTTTGCATCTTATCTGTATTTGTTCATTTTGGAAAACCTGGCTGAAAATACTTCCATTTGTAAGCCATTAAACATATAATTCAGAAAGATAGCTGATATGTAGCCAACAATGAATCCTTAACATACAAAAAATACTGTACAAACATGTTTTTCTTTTTCCAATGAGTGCTTTTTTCAGTTTTATTCTTTGGTGACAGATTGCTAGGAATCGCCTTAAGGAAGAGGAGGCAGATGAAGAGGAGGAAGAGGAAGAGGAAGAATTAGAAACCACTAAGGAGGAAAGATAGCTTTTGCCACAACAAAATATTCCTCAAATTAAAAATGCTAATTGTATTTACATTTCATGTTAAGACATCATAAGGACAGCCATTAAAATTATAACAAAGATACATTATTTGACCACCTTATGATCTCTTAATTGTATAACATGTACAAAAAGTTGCTAAAATGGAGATATTCTTTAAAAGGTGGTGTCAATTTTGACAATTACTGTAAGGAATTCACCAAGTTTGTTTCTTTGCTTTTCAAAACAGACATTCCCATTATTAACAAGGGGAATGAGGTATATGTTCATATTTATTAAATATAAGTAGCCATCCCCCAGTAACAAAGTGAATTACATAAATTTCTTTGATGTATCATGGAATCTATCCGCTGTCAAAACATCTAAATTTGCTTTGGCCTTTACACAATGCTATAATTCTAAACAAGTACCTGTAGTTCTTGACTTACAACTACAATTGAACCCCAAAATTCTGTTGCTAAACAAGACAATTTTTATTTTATTCATTTTATTATTTTTCCACAGTTAAGTGAATCGGCAGTTGTTAAGTGAAACATCCAGTCATTAAGCGAATCAGGCTTCCTCCATTGACTTGCTTGTTGGGAGCTGGCTGGCAAAGTTATAAATGATGATCACATGACCCTGGGTCAGTGAAGCTGTCATAAATACATGCCACTTGCCAAGTGCCCAAATTTTGATCACATGTCCATCAGGATGTTGCAAAACTAAAGTCATAAGTCACTTTTTTCAGTGCCATTATAATGAACAAACAAACAGCTGTAAGTTGAGAACAACTTAAAAAGATCTTGATCATTAATCATTTCCAGCCTTATCTTCCAGTATGCCATATAACTGGAGAGTTGTCAGTGAAGCCTGAATGTAATTTTCTCTGCTCATCCTTAGCCAGATTCTTCCCCAAAATCTAGTTTTTGGTGTTTAACTGAATAATGATATTTGATTTGCAACAGAAGCAGTGTGAGTCAGTATTAAAAGTTTACCTTTCAGCATTTTATGGTGTAGCTTTAAGCTTGTAGTCAAAATTCATACATGACTTTAGAAGAAAAATGGGATTTAAATTTTCTTCTCATTTCATAATTAGAAGTAGTGCATTATGTATTAGCAGTATTCTAACATCCATTCTATTTAATTGCAGGTTATCACATATTTTAAAAATAAAAAATGCATTTTCACATTTAGTTATATCTGTCTTAGTGATTCTTAAACTGAAGCCCATAGCACAGTGTTTTAAACTGTACAAAACACTAAGTTTGAAACTAAAGGGAATAATAAATAAGCATTTAAAATGCAGATGTGCAAACACCTAAAACTGAAGCATAATCTCTTCACATCAGTAACTAAAAATAAATTAACACTGTATAATAGTGCCAAGAATATTATCCTGGAATACAATGACTGAGCTTGCAAATCAATATTTGATAAACTACATATCTATGCGCCACAAAAGCAGTTTTCTATACTAGTCATACTTGAAAAACATTTTCCCTGGCTCAGCTAGAGTAATAAATACTGCAAAGATATGTTGAAGGAATTGGAAATGCAGCATTTTCTACTAAAATGTGAATGGCAGATTTTTAATATTACTATTAGTTGTTATTGGAATTCTACCAGAGGAATTTCAGAAAAAAGTCACCATTTCCCAAGGCTAAGAGATCATAAAGTACTGTACACATACAACTCAAGTTATAACTTGTATTTTCACATTTCATCTGCATAGAAAACAAGTGCCAAAATTTTGCTTTAGTATGAATAATTCAGTTATCATCCAGGTCCCTAGATGACAGGAGTTCCTTTTATTCATATCAAACGCTACCTTTAAAAGACAAGATTAGTGGTATATGAAATAAGATTCATTGACTGAGGAGACTGTCATTCTGACTTTTCCTTACTTATCCCATACACTGTGCATAGTTTGACCATATTTTGACCATATCATTTTCATGCATATTTTCCACCTCCAAGCTATATAAACTTGAATGTTTAACGGATACAAGCATATCAAGTAATGTATATTTGTGTAATGAGAGGGTGTAACAGTTTAAGGAGATCAACACCCTATATCAAGGTGTGCATAATTACTAGGCAGCTTCTTTTCCTCAGGCAAAATGGGCAAAAAAGAGATTTAACTGACACTAAAAAGTCAAAGATTGTAAAAAGTGTTTCAGAGGGATGTAGCACTTTTGAAATTGCTAAGATATTGGGGCTTGATCACAGAACCATCAAATGTTTTATTGCAAATAGTCAACAGGGTTGCAAGAAATGCAATGAGAAAAAAAAAGATGCATGTTAACTGCCAAAGATTTGAGACGAATCAAATGTGACACTATCAGGAACACATTATCCTCTAGTGCGGTCATATTCCAGAATTGCAACATACCTGGAGTATCCAGAAGTACAAGGTGTTCAATGCTCAGAGACATGGCCAAGGTAAGAAAGGCTGAAACCCAACTACCACTGAAAAAGGCACATAAGTTGAAATGGCAAAACTGGGCCAAGAAATATCTGAAGACAGATTTTTCAAAGGTTTTATCAATTGATGAGAGGGACACTTGATGGACCAGATGGTTGGGCCCATGGTAACGTGCACAGAGCTCCACTTCAACTCAAGACGCCAGCAGGGTGGAAGTGGGGTCCTGGTTTGGGCTGGTATTAAAGATGAGCTAGTTGGACCTTTTTGGATTGTAGATGGACTCTAAATCAACTCCTAAGAAAGTCAAAACCTCACTTTTACTTTAATCTCCAAAATACAACTTGCCTAATAATTGTGTCCACGGTGTATATAAGTATTCAACATTGCCTTTCACAATCTGATTGATATCTTCCAGATTATGTTTAATTCCCAAGCAAAGTAGTTGACTAAATTTGATAAGAATTGCAGTCTAATTGATTTGGAAGATACATGGTTGGGAAAGATTCGTCTAATACATACAAAGCCAATGTAATCATGTCAAAAAGATGCTGCAGTTGCAAGTGCCCAAGATGAGTAAAAATGCCCTTACAATGCATGCAGATCAACTTGAAAATGTTTCTAAAGCTTTAAATACTGGATACTTTTCAGCTGCCATTTCGTTTTCCTCCCTATCACAATGCTTAAGGGAAAGTGTTAAGGCTTTTTCGACCCAAGGATCATACTATTGCCAAATTAATAGAAAATGTAGGCATGAAACAAAATTGTAATAGTATACAGATATCACAGTAAGTTGTATTCTTTAGGGTATACTATGCAAAATTTTAGATTGTGGAAACTCCTCTAAAATTTAATTAAAAAATCATTATCTATGTCCACATATGCCAAGTATAAAACTGTTTTTAGAATTGCAAGATATTACTGCTATGAATAAGCAAAGCATCAATGACCCATCCACATATTTCAGTGCATGTACTTTTATTTTGAAAGAAAAGCTGAGCTGACATTAACAAAACATTCAAGCTATCACTGAGAATTAACAATGGACACGAATCCTATGGATTTAAGTTAATATATACAAGGATGACACAACCTATGTTTTTGAACAACTTTGAAAATACAATGTTTTACATCAAACCATATTTAGATAAACTGCAAATATACATGCAGCAGAGGGATGGAATACATGTTAAATTTCATATTTCAGCTATGCATATTTTAAAGATAACTTGTCAGAACTATCAGGTTGATCCATTATTTAAAAAAAAATCAATTAAAAATGCTGCAATTTTAAAATAAGACTTTAACGCTTTATAATGCTTAACATTTTGGGGTGTCTTCATTTTCCAAATAAAAAATTGTGAATTATGAAATAATACTGTATATTCTGTCTCATTTTCACCTATACCAAGGTTAATCTAATTTTGCGCTGGCCGATTGGCCTATTGTTCAGTTCATTAATAGCAGCCTCTGCCTCTTTGTAATTTACTAAAGCAATGATTGCTTCACCAGAAAACATTCCATATTCATTGTGCTGAACAGAAAGAGATTCTGGTATAATTTTATAGCCATGGAAAAAATCCAGAATTTCATTAGGAGAAGCTCGAAATGGTATATTTTTTAATTTGATGAATGTTACAGAATCTGAGTCACCACCAAAGTTAGAATCAGGCATAAAGTGCCTATCGGAAAAATTTTCAGGAATACCATCACCAAATTCTTTAAATGAGGGAGGACGTCTATCAGATGAACAGATAAAATCATCAGACAGGCTTCGATAATCACCTTCCTGCACAGAGGGTCCTTGTGAATCAACAGAGTAAAAGTTTTCATCTCTTTCGCGTGTATGGTGATGCCCTTGCATCTTTTCATTAGATGCTGGTGGAATATTAATACCAAACTTTTGCATTTGCTCCTCGGGTATACATCTTAAGAGTACCTCTGTCCCCAAAAAGCATCGGCGATTTAAGCTTTCAGCTTTTCGGGCCTCATTTTCTGTCCTGAATTTAACTAGTGCTTCTCCCAGTCCAACTCCTTTGTCATCATAAAGCAAATAAATGTCATTGTCATCAATATTAAATCCTGCAAAGAATTTTTGTACTTCAACATTTGTCACATCAAATGGAAAATTTCTTACATACACACACGTCTTTGAGCCAAGGTAGCCATCTTGATTTTTATCCTTTACATGGCGATATCCTTCTGATGATCCCATTAACTCTAGCACTGTTCTTTTGGAAACAGGGAAAATGTAAACTTGTTGACCAAAAAGATCAAGCTTGTGATAAGTCAGTGCTGATTCATATGCTTCTTCTGATCTGAACATAATAATTGCATCCTTGTTTCTTGCCTCATTATCGTGTGGTTTTAGAAAAGTAATATCCCTGTTCACTAAAGTTAGCTCCTGAAAGAACATCCGCAAGTCTTTCTTTTTAATAGCAGCAGACAGATTTTTAAGATGTATGTAATATTCCTTGCTCTGGGGTAAATGGGGCTGGTTTGGAGTAGAGAAAGGTGAATGAGACTGGGTTTTAACCCTCCTTGGAGATCTTGAATGGGTACTTGTTGTGGTCCTCCTTGGAAAATGTGAATGCATAGGTTCCATGACCCTCTGTGGTGGTGACCTTGAACCATTGCGTGCCATGACCCTCCGTGGTGGAGACCTTGATCCAGTGTGTGCCATAACCCTTTCTGGAGATCTTGAATAGGCATGTGCCATAACCCTTTGTGAAGGAGATTTTGAATAGCTGCGTTCCATAATCCTCCATGAAGGAGACCTTGAATTAACCTGTGATACTACTCTACGTGGTGGAGTTCTGGATCGGGTACGTTTCCTTGAAAACATATAGGTTGGCTCTTTTTTTGAATATTCTGTGTTTGAAAAATAATGTCCTTTATTTGAATTTTGTTGAAAGTGGAAAGAATTATCTATCTTCTCATCTATCTTGCCTCCATACTTAAGCCATGTTTCTTCCTTGGACGGACGGACTTCTATAAACCGTGAACCAATATAATTCCTATCCCGTTGCAGTCCTTTCATGGCATCACTTAATGTAGCAAATTTGACAAACCCATCTCCATTGATTTGACCATTCGTTTTTAACATAAGTACCTTCTCCACTTGTAATCCAGAAAAGAAATTGAACACATCATCTTCTGTTGAAGAATAAGGCATACCACGTATAAATAAATATAACCTATCAGATTTAGATACTTCCTTCCTAGGCTGGTTAAAATTTGATTTTGAAATATTTATATTGGTATTTCGAGGGCCACTAGAATGAAACTCATCCTCCAAAGGAATCCTGGAATCATGGCTAGATTTACCAATTCCCTTTTTAATGACTTGAACTGTATTTGAAAGGTTGCCAACATCAGATGTTCCTGAATTATTAGGAGCTGTCCGCCTAGATCCTACTCCTCTTCCACCACGATTAAATCTTTTCCTATTAATTTCTATTATGCTCTGCATTTCTGTCTTGCTACTAAGAAAGAACTGTATACGTGAATCCTTGATAAATCCTCCTGAATAGCTCATTGCTTGTCTGGCATCTTCATCTGTTGCAAATATAATAAAAGCTTCCCCCTTTTCTCCTCCAATAATATGTACACCTCCATCAGGAATATTCAATCCTGAGAAGAAACGACGAATATCTGCAGAATCCGCAACAAGAGGAAGTCCCTGTAAACGGATGACTACAGCCATTTTGAGCTCAACCCACAGCAATAATCACCTGTGGATAAAAAGGCATACATGATAACAAGCCTTTAGTATACTGGAAGAATGCTAGGCCTACACTACACCATTTAAAACAAAACAAAAGAAAATCCTGCCATTATTGAAAGAATAACGCCTACATTTCAAATCACACAACCTAATTTAATCTGAATGTTTATAAACACTGGCCAGTCTGAAATAAGTGTACAGTTCCCAATAATATTCTCAATCAAAAGCACCAATGTCATTCATAACATCTAAAATAAAAGCTATCGAAGCTTTCACAGCATCTTATAAAATCCAGTAAAAGAAAACATCTTGTTTTCCATTATCTGACATTCTGAACTACTTTGATCAAAAAGATGTCATATCACTTCCAAGCAATAATGAAGTTTAAGTATTTTCTGTCAGGCCGGCTCATCTCATAAAGAATTAAGTTCAGTAATCTTTTTCTCCATGTTTATTCTTTCCTATGATTAGATAGCCAACTGCACATCTTCCTTTCCAGTCATCAACTTGGATGAAAAGCCATCAAATCTGACAATATAAACACCAAGCTTTCAGAAGCTTACCTGGTTCTTCTTGGAAGGCCTGATAAAGACTGTGAAATCAACTTAACTGTGGAAAGAAAATGAAACAAAATTAATGGCCAAGAAGCAGATTTACATTTTAAGCCACATTCAGTGGGATAGCCAGAACTATGGTGAACATTAACAACCCAGAAATAAAAAATAACAAGTTGTTCTGTTCCTTTCTTATTCCAGAGATGTACCAAAAAAAATCAGGATTTGTGAATTTCAGTTGTATAGTATCTTGTTTTTCACATGTTTTGAGACAGGTTCATTATGTTCTCTACTCAAAATTGATGTCAGCAACAATGATATGAGATTGATCTTCAAATTTTGATACAGATAAAAAAATCCAATTAAAAATATTCTTTTCGTCAATGTCCTCAGTCCTTGAAAGTTCCACACAAAAAGAGTAAGTGTCCAATTGTTCTAACATGATTTTCTTTTAAAGAACATAGCAGAATGTTAATCAAAAATTGAGTAAGTGATCAAATTAAGAAAACATATTCCAACTTCAGAAATTCCAGGAAAATATATTGATGATATACCAGTTTCCCCATAAAGCTTGCTGTGCCAGTATGAATCCAGAGGAATCCAGTATGTTAGAATAACTTTGCATTTAGAAGATAAGTAGGAGTACACTTGTAATGACTATATGCAGAAATAGATTTACACAGCACTTGTAATACCCATATTTCACAAGTTCCAGAAAAAGGAAATAACAGAAAAATTACAACCTAAATAACCTTAGAGAGGTAAAGCTCCAATAAGCTCATCAAAGTCCACTTACGAATGTACACAGTACTGCAGTTTCAGTATCAAAGACCTAATACAATATCAAATGCATGGAAGGAAATATATTCAATTTAATATTCTATTAATAGAATATTAATACCAGATCCAATTACATATATCTTATGTACAAAAGTTTTAAGGCTGTAAACAATGATAAAATATACTAAACATTCAAATCTGCCACTATGCTTAAAACCAAACTACTTCTCCAAACCCTACAAAAGTATGGCACATCCATCATTCTTTTTAAAGACCTAATTTGTAAGGTCCAATCCAATCCATTTCACTGAAAACAATGGCAACTAATCTAGGGACATGAATAACAACTTGTTCAAAAAGCTTACATTAACAAATGCAAGCTAGCCAACTACAACTGTTACTAGTATTGGGCAGCTCAATTTTTCCCCTGAAACTGAATAATAAACAACTAGATCCAACAAAAAAAGATTGATAGCATTATGTCCTGTCCTTTATTTCCAAAAGAGGTTTACCAAGCAATGAAAAAGCCTTCAGGAAGTCCAACTGAAGTAAAATTAACAATTATTAACATTTCAATTCCTGATTGTCAAGTACAACTAAAACATATATACATTAATCTGTCAACAAAATGAGAAAAACATATATCAAACAAGGAGTTCAGGAATTCAGCAAAACTTATTTCTGAGCAGATACAATGGGACTCTATTAGTAAGCTTTAAAACTTCTAAAAACCAATTGAATACTGTAGATAACTACATGTCAAAAAAAAACCTCCAATCTTCTATGGATCAGTTCATATTATACAATTCCCTGCAGAGGATGAACATCAGCTGAAGTGGTTTATGTTTTTGCAGTTAAATATACACTCTGCATTTTATTCTTGTGTAATCCATATGTGAATTTGAGCGAGCAACATTGATTCCTGTTAAAACAGGCACATTCATTCCTATCCATTCAATGACTGCTGAAGTAGTGCCTGGTTGACTCTTTCCCAGGAAGATAGTTGCAAAGATTTATTCCTCCTAGAGAATGCAGAATATAGAACTCTGGAATATGAGGCATTACTTCCGTGATTGTAATCCTGGTAGAAAATACATCGTAAAAAGACCAGGTGGGGACAAAAAGCATGTCTTCGCTAGCAATTATTAATACCCATTCCTTTCCAAAGATATGTTGACTAAGATGAGATCAGAAATACCCATCGAGATGGAAATCAATCGGTAGAACAAGCTTGCGACTCCGGAGTTTCTTCATCTTGTACAGCGTTTATATACAAATTCCGTTTCTAGTATCATCCAACTCATTCCTCGGGAAAACGTTCGGAATGATCCAATATTCTCAGGAATGTGCCATTAAACCAGCGAAAGAAAATACAAGAACTACGAGACTTTCCGTAGCGTGTTCAATCCTGAAACGATCTTCCGACACAGAACCAGAGCGACTTTTTCCAAGTACACCGGACAGTTTTTCTTCCATCCCCGTCGTAACGGAGAAAGAATTCGCGTTCGGAGAATTGTTTAAACGCCTCAATATGTTATTAAAACACTGACCAGCAAACGCCTCGACATCACCGTCCTGGCAGCAGGAGCTGCCCGAGCAGTACTCAACGCCTTTGCCACCCACCCCTTCCTTTATCCATACCATTTGCCGACCTCGGTCGGCCTCTTAACTCAGAGCACGGAGAAAATACGGGATACAAAGTGAAGCTTAGACGCTACCCTCGAAGCCAGCAATCCCACAAAAACATACGCACACATACGGACACCCGTAACAATGACCCCTTCGCGTTTCGTTTCTACTAACCAGGCCCCTGGGAGTCGAAAGAGGCCTTGAAAGCGCCTTAGCTCCGTAATTTCCCGCGGGAAAGAAGAGCAGAACCCCGCGCTTGCTTTAACAGGTCATGAGGCAAACGCCGCAGCCTCTTCCTTCTGCTCTCGGGCGCGCCAACCTCTCCAGGCGTCCGTCAGGAAACAGGCTGCGGGCGTCTTGGCCTCTCAAAAAATACGGTGCGCCCCCCGCTTCGACCTCCCGAAGCGAGAAAAGACCGATTCGCAATCTACAAAATGGCAGCCGTGCTTCCGCTCCAGCTCCCCGCGTCCCACCCCAGCAAAGCCATTGAGCGCGACTTTCTGTGCGCAGGCTCGGAGGGATACTCTAAACGCATGCGCTATGTCCCGGAAGTTCAAAGTTTGGTCAGGAATTCGATTTGCCTAGTCGTTTACGATGGCAATTTTTTTACCTTCAAAAAACCGAAAGTTTTGTAAAGGGAATAGAAAGTAGGGAGGATTGAAAGATTGCAACTTTTGTTAGCAATCCGGTGGCATGTAGAATAGCGTTTTGCACGGAACTCGAAAGTTTAGCATAATATAAAGATTAACTCCATTTGGCCTCCTAGGCTTTTCTTAAATACAACTCAGATTTTTTTTTAAAAAAAAAGTGAGCTACTTATACAAGTAATGTGTAACAATGTGTATAATGCCATCATCATGAAAACCAAAGAGCTTTGATTTCAAATAGGTTTATGATTTCATGTGATTTATTTTTATCTCCATTTTAATGCAGTGCTCTTCTCTGTTTGAATATGAAAAAAATAATTTCGTTGATATTTTTGAGGTTAGATTTGAATAGTATTGTGATATAGATCAGAGGTCCCCAACGTTTTGGGTACCAAGGACCGGTTCCATGGAGAAAGGTTTTTCTACTGAATGGAGAGAGTGTAGTTTTGTGTACTACCTGCATCCCACAGATGGGACTTTGCTTGTTTGTGCGGACCGGTTGCTGGCAAGCCGCAGTCCAGAGACTGGGCGTTGGGGACCCCTGATATAGATTGATAATGGTGGTAATGAGATTATCCATTCGTATCTGATTCTTGACAATTCTGTGGGCCAGGTTTCTCCATGTGTTCCAATCACCATTAAAAAAGAAAACTTTTCCAATCTTCTGTACATATAAATGTCTAACATCCAAAGCGATGCAGCAATCAATCGTGCTGTTTCAAAACCTACAGTACAAATTGTCCTTGACTTATGTTAACAGTTGGGAACATAATTGCTAAACAACGTGCTTTCTAAGCAAGTCACACCCCATTTTTCTAACCTTTTCTGACCAGGTTGTTATGCAAATCACTGAAACGGTTAAGGGAATCATGCTGTCATTAAACGAACCCAGCTTTCCCCATTTATTTTACTTATCAAAAGCTGACTGAGAAATGGCAATCATGACCGTGGGATGCTGCAACCATGATAAATACATACCAGTTGCCAAATGCCCCAGATGTGACTATGGCAAGGATGCAACAATTGAAAATACAAAGAACAGTCATAAATCATTTTTTCAATGCCGCTGTAACTTCAAATGATTATGAAATGAATAGGGTGTGCGAGACAATATTCCAGGGGATGCGAAAACTTGGGTTTAGAAGTTTCAAAATTATAGTGTATATGCATAATTCATTATTTCAAACTGTTGTAAGGGGTGCGAAAATATATCAGAAGCGTTCTATTGGTGCGGGGTATAGAAAAGATTGGGAGCCGCTGCTGTATAGGAATAGGAAATTCAATGCATCTGGAGGTTTCAGTATCCAGGTGGGCAGTTATGTTCTCCAGCTGGTTATAAAATAATTTTATATTTAAATTTATTTATAATATTACAATAAGCACTTTTATAATTTTTAAAATACATTTTTTTAAAAATATGTGTTGCTTCAACAAATTGATTTTGATTTTGCCAGTTGTAGTAGCCTAAGAAATCAATTCAAAATCATTACCTGCAAAATGTGTTACTGCAAAACACTGCAAAGTACATAAGTAAGTACATAATCCCTTACTGGAAATTGCTCAGAAATTATTACACCAAAACTGTGAAAATGAAAACTAAATTTAATAAAATTTTGTAACCATCCATTTAATCATATAATGATGTCTTAATACTTACCATCATCTGTATAAGTGATGTTGACAATGTTTTTTTCTATTTGAGATCTCATAAGTAATAAAACAAACATTATATGCACCATACTCTCAGTTAGTGTTTTTTAAATGCAATATTTTGTTTTAATTCAACAAAAATAACATGGGGGGAAGAAATGCAGATTATGATTTAATTTTCATGGAATGACTGAAATTTAATCTTAAATTGCAAGGATTCCATTTAAAATTGAACCTCAACCATCTTTCGTTGAATGAGTCGCAGGACTTTGCGAGATATAGAGATGGAGAAAGTGATCCTGTATACTCTTGAGATTTTTTTTTAATCCTCTTGGCGTTCCGTAGTTCGAGTTTCAAACCCGCCTTTCAACCAGGGAACGCTCGATAGGGTGGGCGGGGTCGAGGCTTGAGTAGCCATGGCGACGCTGCGGCTATGGCTTGCTGCGGCGCTGGTGATGCTCCCCATGAGCGCGGGCCGCGGCTTTTTCCTCCCCTTGCGCGACCCACAGAGCTGCGCTGGGACTCAGTACTTCGATATCGCCAGCTTGGACTGCCGGGGTTGTGGGGAGTTCCAGAAGCAAAGCACTCAGGGTGAGACTACCTAAAGGCTCAACCGGATGGAAGATGGAGCTTTTTAAAAGGTTCATTCAGACGTTGCACTGAATTCAGTGGACCTTCTTGAACATAGTGCATGTAGAATTGCATGTTCATTTATTTCCTCCCCAAAAGCAGATACTTAATACTTGTGCTTGATTATTTACCATCTTCTGGTCATTATGTAACTAATGGTCAGATCCGGAAGAGTAGCTGCTCCTCGTCATTGGATTGCCTCCAGGAAAAAGAATGCATATAACCACAGGGATAAATTAAGAAAGATGGTGAAATTGCTTTAAAGTGTGTTTATTAAGAAGCAAATTATTTCTTAAATGGACAAATCCCCGCATAATATGAACAGCAAGCCTGATGTTCTCTAATTCTTGCTTCATACTGAACGTGTGTGAATAAATAGAAGTAGTCATCAGGTGCCATATATTTTGCTGGAGCTAGATCTTTTGTACAGTCACTCTCTGTCCAGACAGAGAAATACTATATGCTGGTATTATTGGGCAAATGCCAGCTATTTTGCCATTCAGAGACTGAAATTGCTGTAGTACATAGAGAACAATGAGAAGTAAGTGAAAGTTTCATTATTTAGGTGGAACCATCTTGGCTCACTTTCTCTCTGGATGGTGGCCAGGCATTCTTATTTAGGTCTGGAGATTGCAGATTGGTGGGTGGAAACATTACATGTATATATTTACATTCTTACATTTAAGCCCTGTTTTCCATTAATCTTGAGCATTATAGTTGGAAGAGAAAGTAAACTAACTTCTCCCAACTGCTATAAACTGTAGGATCTTTCCATGTAAAATAAAGAAGGCATCAAGGGTAGAAGAGAAGAAACTTAATCCTCTTTCCATCTATTGAGTCATCTCTTTATCAATGGATTCCCACTAGTAGGGAAGGACAGTGGAGACCCGCTGAAGGCACCTTGTTAAGAACATTTCAAAATCTCTCAGAAGTTTTGGGATCTCAAGATTGCCTCTTTTTTCAGGTTTGACTCTAGTATTGGAACCTGCTACAGAATCTACCATCAAACCAAAATTCTACCAGGAAACATGAAGATTACTTTAGAAAAATGATTCCAATTTATTTGTTTATATAGTCATCCACCTCTTTAATTGTTTCTCTGGGAAATGAACATAAAATATTTAAAACCTTAAAAACTTTTAAAGGCAACATATGTAGAAAAATTTAAGAGATCTCTTTCAGTCATATCCTTATTAAATATTTTAATTTGAAGCAGATATTGTGTATTTTTCAGGTACATCATGTGATTGTCTCCCAGGATTCAAGAAAGTTTTTGATAAAGGTGGAACATCTATTATATGTGAAAAATGTCCAGAAACTATGGTAAAATCAACCAAAGATATTTCTATTAGAAAAAGTAGGTAGATTAACTTTGTTTTTTTCTACACTATAAGCTTTAAAGTGAGTTTTAAATACTTGTAATCTTTCATTTAGAATGGAGTTACTCAAGATGGATGGGACTGCATTACTTGTCCCAGTGGCTTAACTATAGAAGGAAAATGTATATGCGCTAATAATGAGATTTTAGGTAAGAATTTTATAAAGTTATTTTATGTTTGTTTATTTTTCCAGGCAAATCTATGTAGAAAGTTATATGTGAGATATACTTTAACATTTTAGTTCAGTGAACAGATGAAAAATTGTAAAGTTTTATTTATTCCAGGAACAAAATGGATATAATTATGTATTTCAATTTGTGTTTTAAAAAATAAAACCATTCATATGTGTTTTTTCAGATCCACTGTTCTAGATAATAACTGAATGTAAATTTTATGGCTATTTTCTTACTTTGCTAAAATGAAAATCTCATTTAGAAATCACTGATAGTTTTACAGCAAAGCAAACCTGCTGTGTTATATAAGCTGTCAATGTCTTTGATTGAATGGTTTTCAGGATCTTCTTCTGACCTCTTTTATTTTCCCAAATTGAAAATAAAATATTTTCTCTGAAAATATGTTATTCTGAATTTACACTTTTGTTGCAAGTTATATTATGATACCATATTTCTCTTTGATGAAAGTTGCAACATAGAATAGTGTTGGGAGAGACTTACAACATAGCTTTTGTTGTTACATAAGTAAATATAAAGTTTCCTTTTAAAAACATGTTAACTGATTTTTTCCCTTAAAATAACTGGTAGTAATTAATGATCAAGCACTTCCATATTTACAAAAAGTTATTTCTTCATTATTCAGTGTAATTTCTGGAAAGATCATGACCAGGATTTCCAAATTGGGAGTCATGTATTAAGCAATGTCAACTGAATTTTCTGGATTTGCTCTTTTTAAATATACATTTTAAATATTCATGCATTACCCATTATATTTAAGTACATTATGGTATCTATACTAAGATTATTACTAATAGTTTTGTAATTTTTTTAAGTGGAAAGAAACATTAATGGTTCACTACTGAAAGTGGCATTATGTGTTCAGTGTGATGGAAAGGAACAGTCATTTTCAATTGCGAATGCATTAAATAACATGTAAGTATATTATTTATATAAGATGTATATTGGATTAGGAAACAACATTTGCCTTATTTATTCTCATGAAGTTTGCACAATTGAAA